TGCTGTTCAAAAAAAAATTGGTTCATTTGCGGAATGCTTCTTAATTTTTTTAAAAAAAGTTAAATAAATGGTTCTACTGAAATTTATATTAAAAATTGGGGCGTTTTGCTAGTATCTGAAAATGCGTCCTGAGTTTGTTTTAGGTTCTTTAATAAGAAATAGTCTTAAGTCATTAAGAAAAACTCATGATAAGACCCTAGTTATAAAATTGAACAGGCATCATATTATATTAAGTTAGCAATATTTTATCATGACATGCAATTTCACGATCAGTGAAGTGCTTATTTTATTTTTCAAATTTATTGTTTCATGCTCCACGTATTGACGCAGATAATTGTTATTCAAGTGGAGAAATGAGAATTGTTACAAAGAACAAAGAAATATAATTCTGCACACGTAAAACACAAAAGCTATCAATAAAACAGCTTATCAAATTGTAAACTAACGTGGCGAAAAGGCTCCATTCGTCATTCCATTAAAAACACTTCAATCTTTGCAAACGATTTTCAAACCTAAAATTCTTATTCGAATATTTTCTATGTTTCTAAAAAAAAAATAAAAAAAAGACTTTTAAATTGAATTTACCTGTTACTTTAACAAAAATTTTGTTTTTCAATGTCATTTTCTTTATGTTTTCTTTTCTTTTTGTTTTTTCTTATTAAAGACTTTAATCTGTAGTTCGTGTTGCGAATCTGATGAACAACATTTATACGCATTTTTTTTTTATCTCTAAGTAAAAGGAGAAGACCATGAGAGTATAGAACGAAACGAGACAATGCTTTCATAAGACCTTGTCCAGATAAGGGGACCCGAACAATGACAGATAATATCGGGGAGTTCCAAATCTCGGTTATTTTCTATTCAAAATACACGCGGAGGATTGTGAGTAAAGGACTTTTTTTTTTCATTGACATAGTTTTGATTGGTAATTCGATTGAGTTACAACTTCCTACGTAACTGGGAAGAAGATGTTTCTTTGTGTCTAATACTTTCTTTCAGATTAAATATGTTCAATGGAACATTTAAAATTTATAGTGGCTGAAAATATGCTTTTGGGTTCGTTCATTTTGAAGGAATTAATATAATCATTCACACCACGGTCTTTAAAAAAAGCAATTTGTTCTAAAATTCCAAGTAATGTGGAAAATTCAATTTATATACGTATGTAAAATTGGGAAAATGAAACAATATTTAAAACGCACTTTCCCTGGATGCTCTAAAAAAATACCAGTGATAAATAATTTTTGATTTTAACCCCTTAACCGGTCAAATTTTTTGCCGAAAATGCTTTGAAAAATGCACAGTTTTTTTGTTGCATACAACAAAGCATAATACTAAATAGAATGAGAAAAATGGAATTTTGTTTCAATTTTTAATTTTAAAGTTTTTGCACTATTTTTTATTTTATTATCGTGGAACACAAAAAATCCATATATAAGTACTCTCTCTCTGTGTGTGTGCTGTGTGTGTGTGTTATGATGACTATTTTATAAAGGAATTTCTTCATACTTATAAAAAATACTAGTGTTCGTGTTTTTTCGAACGATTGAGGGTTTTGTGTGTGAGCATATATACATACACACACACACAATTTGAAACTTGGAGTATATATATATGTAACGTTTTACATTGCAATCGGGACAGAAATATATCGAATTTTTTGGATTAGCCTTTCATTTTCATTTCTTCTCAAGCAAAACAAATTGCACATTGTCTAGCCGATCCTTGTTCTTAAAATATCCGACTACATTCGGAATTTCGTGATTTTGCAAAAGCGTATAAATAGATAATAATTATGATATTTAGTGTCACTTAGATTAAAAAATGTATATAAAATTGTTTTAAGAATAGTATTACAATAAAAAATTATTTAAGTACAATATTTTGACAAAAAGTGAACATAGAAGGACACATTTTCAAAATATTCTCCTTTTGTGAAAAAGGCTTCTATTATAATAATATTTTGTATGTCTATAGCTCAGACCTCTGTACAGAGGCTCAACTAGAATTTTTGAAACGCATAACTTGGAAGTCGGTTTATCCATGATTTACGAAAACAGAAGGGAGAAATATTAAGAAAAAACGCCGATAGTTATTTAAATTGGTTGTAACTCTGAACCCTCTGTACAGAGGGTCTGAGCTATACACAGGCAAAATATTATTATAATAGAAGCATTTTTCACAAAAGAACATTTTGAAAAAATGTTATTCTAAGTTTTTTTTTTGCCGAAATATTGTATTTAAATAATATTTTTGTCAAAATGTTCTTAAAACAATTTTATACATGTATTCTAATCTAAGTGACACTCAATATGAAAATTATCCATTTATGCGCCTTTTTTAAAATCACAGTTCCGAACGTAGTCGGATACCTTAATCGGAAGTTTCAAGGATCTAAATTTCTGACCTCAAAGAAAACCTCTAATGAGAAGCATTTCAGTACCATGGACAAAATGCATCTCTTAAAAACACTAACAATAATAAGATCACTATAAGAATTAAAAATACCTGCAAATGAAAGGTAGAAAGAAATATCACTGCTCGTACAGAGTACGGGCAAACCGGTTAAGGTGTTAAAAGTATAACAACAAAATTAATATTTGTAACATTATGTTTATGATTTCACACATGTTTAATGATATCAGTAATTTATAAGATTCTATAAATGCACATGAGCAAATAATGTTATGATATATATATATATTTAACTGAATACATATCATTAATAAATCTTTCTTTTATTCATTTTCCTCCCCCCAAAAATATGATAAGCTACTTTTTTATGTGTTCAACTCTCTGATAAAAACAGAATTCCTGTGATATAAATGCATATTTTTTAGACGAATATTAGTAAAGTATGCAGTTTCAAACACATGGCCTACAATTGCTTAAATATGTAACTTAACGAAAATGAAGAATTTACATTTGAAACTGCCTTTTTTTCCTTCAATACTGTGTATTTTATGTACTTATATATTGGTAAGAAGAATAAAAAAATATCTACTTGAATAATATGTAGTAGTATTATATATATTCTTTTTAAAAAAAAGAGAAGAAAAAGAAAACGCCACGAATATTTATCTTTTACAAGACTTCTAATAGAAGAGAGACCTATTAGAACAGAGGAAAATCAAACAGAAATTTTTGATTAAAATCACAATTTATTTATTTACTTGAAATAGCCTGTACGCAGAAATTCATACGATTTTGCAAGATTTGGAGGATTTATGCATAATCCATTTTTTCATATAAGTCTCACAAGACAGCTTATTGGTTTGATTTTAAAGAATTTCTCTCAAGGATTAATTTTTTATCTGCGCCAAAAGAAGCGCCTTAAAGCAAAGAAGAGAGGACTTTTCTCGGGTAACTGGCTCATATTATAAGACTAACAAAACAAATACCGGACTTCTTTTTTCTTCTTCTTATAATCACAAACACGATTTCAGGTTATCGATTAATGTCTACATGAGTTTTTAATGTTACCATTAAAAGCTGGAAGAGAAAATTTGTTATAATTTTTCCGTCTGAGTCAGCTGCAGCTTGAGCCCCGTCGACGCCTCAACCCATTTGTCCGCGGTGGGGTTTTGCAGGGACTGACTATCGATCCAAGGGATTCGTGACCCGAAGCAAGGCCTTTCGCATCAGCCAAATGAAGTACTAGTCAGAGCGTAGTTTGATGTAGTATTATGAAAGCTGTTTTGACGATGTAGAATAGGAATGAAGAGTCTAAAGGAAAGCCTTTAGATCTCCTATATTAATTATGATTTTTTTTAAATGAATTCGTTTCTAAAAGACTTTAAACTTAAATTCTCAAGTAATTAAGCAATAAATAATTCGATTTTATTTTACTTATTTTTTCGTCTTTTATTACTAAAAGAATTAATATAAAAGAGTTTAAAACAAAAAAAAATTATTTTACTGTTATTTTTATTCGCCTTTATTTTATACTCATATTTCTTTATTTCTTGCTTGAAAATGAAGATTTAAAAAATGCTAAATATATAATATAAATAAGATGCAAACGAAAAGAAATTGGAGTACAATTATTTTAAAAATTCCGATATACTGCATTACATTAAAAGTTGTACAATATGCTCATGAAATTCCAATTTATATTCTTATTTATTAGTACTTGAAATCACTCGCGAATTATCCTTAGGTGACTGTGACTACGTTCGGGGCCGTCATTTTGAAAAAGCGTATAAATGAGCAATTTTTTTTAATATTTAGTATCAGTTGAATTCGAATGTACATATAAAACTATTTTAAAAATATTATTACTAGAAAAATTATTTAAATTTTGGTGAAAAATAAAGAAAGAATGACAAATTTTCAAAACATATTCCTTTTATGAAAAATACTTCTACAATAATAATACTTTGCCTATATGTAGCTAAGACTTCTACAGTGTGGTTGAATTTAAGTTTTTGAAAAATTCGCTTTATTTTCAGAGTTACGATCGATTGAAATAATAACGGGTGTTTTTAGTTAAAATTTCTATACTCTCTGAAATAATAAAATAGGAATAAATCCACTTCTAAGTTACGTATTTCAAAAATTTTAGTTCAACCCCGGTATAGAAATCCTAGGTACATTAGGCAAAATATTGCTATTATAGAAGCATTTCTCATAAAAGGAGAATGTTTTGGAAGTATGTCATTTTTTCTTCATTTCCTAGCCGAAAAATTGCATTTAAATATTTTTTTCTTGTAACAATATTCTTAAAACAGTTTTATACGGTTTTTCAATTCCTACTATTAGTTCACACTCTCCCTATATATATATTTATATATACATCTTGTTCAAACTTTCAATCGTTAATAACTTTTTGTTCATCCACTCGTTCAAATACATTTTTTTAAACTTGTAGTGGATGACACTGGATGTTAATACAGTTTTTTCAAATATTTATTCATTAGTTAAATTTAATTATTGAATATACAGTAACAAACAAAAATAATATTACAGCACCATATATGAAAAGAAAAATTGCTCGTTGTGTCCCTTAGAGCAATGGATAGCTCTTTGGACTTCAAATTCAAAGGTCATGGGTTCAAATTCCACCTGAGATTGCCTAGTTTCTGAGAATGTGATTTCTTTTTACTATACTATTTTATTGGAATAATTCAATTTAATTAATGAATAAATGGTAAGAAGCAAAATAATAGTCCGACACCTATATAGAAAGGAAAAAGGAAAAATCGCTCTCTATTTTGCCACTTAATTTTGTGATTCTGTCAAATGTATGAACATATGTAACATTGTGATTCTGTCAATATGTATATACATATTTACATTAATTGTAATTATTTAATTAAAAAGTAACTAAAATTAAAATTTTCTATGTTGACTTGAATTTTATTTTATATTTCTTGTCGTTGTTCAACTGACACTAACTATCAATAGATTATCCATTTCAAAATTGTAGTTTTGAATGTACTCAGTTAGTTACCTTAGACTTAGAGTATTAGACTTATGGTTTTAATTTCAGTGTATTAGTATTATTTCCTTTTATGAAGGGGCTATTTTTCCTTCAAAATAGCCCCTTCCCTATTTACCTCACTATTTGTTTTCTTACAGTGAATTAATTGCTTTTAATTGTAATTGCTAAATTCTCTTGAAATATATTGTAATGGAATTTATATAATCTAACATTCAAATAATATTTATTTTAAAATTTGAGGCGTATGCGCATGTGTACCCTTATCAGTAATATAAGTTCACGCTGCATTTAACTTTTGATTCCAATATTACGATGATTCCGTACGTATACAAGACTGGTGCTAATAGATCTACAAAACATATTTCTTGTAAGAATTGTCAAAATTGATAATATTTTTGTCTTAAGGCCTCCTGAGCATAGCACTAATTAAAATAAATAATAGTTATAATATGATATTAACTCTACACAAAATAACATGAAAAAAAATAAGGTACTAATTATCTCAATTTTAATTAATATACAGTAACATTTGTTCAGTAAATATATATCGCAAGAAAATTTTGAAATTAGGAATCTCATATCAAATCCCTAAGGGAGATGATCACTTGAAGGGAAATATTAAAATAACGTCTCTTCAAGGTCATTTCTCTGATAAAAGTAAGGGATTTGAACGAATCCCTTAGCTGTTTAGTGAAATAATAAAATAATATTGTTAAGAGTTTAAAAGTGTTTAGTTAACAAATATGGTGCATTGTTAAACGTACAAGTAAGTAATACAACAATAGTTAATGAAATACAAATTATTTATTCGAAACTAACAAATAATTAGAAAATTAGGCTGGTATTTTTTGACGTATAACATCTTTCCTCTCAGTTGCTTACGCACTAAAATATCAATCCCTATGTTAATCCTTTGGTGCCATTTTTTTTAAAGATATGGGGTTGATATTTAGGGATCGATAGTACTACCTGTATGGTTAGGAAGTGCAAGGACTCGACCCTCCAGGTGTCTCCCCTTGTATAGCATAAATTCTGACTAGTTCATTTCATCATTTCACTGAAACAGTTCAGGGATTTGATAAAATCACTTACTTTTACCAGGGAAATGACCTTGAAGAGACGTTATTTTACAGCTTCTGTCAATCGATCATCTCCCTTAGGGATTTGATGAAATTCCTAATTTCGCCATTTCCCTGAGACATAAATATGATAACGATCAAATTTTAAAATAGGGTCAGGTGACATCTTTGTACTGTAAACGAATTAACCCTCTCGAGAGTTAAAAACTCGGTAAAATCAGTTCCTTTTAAGGTATCCGACTACGTTCGGAACCGTGATTTTAAAAAAGCACATAAATGGATAACTTTCATGATATTTCGCGTCAGATTAGACTACATGTATAAAATTGTTTTAAGGACATTTTGACAAAAAAAATTATTTAAATACAATATTTTGGCAAAGAATTAACTTAGAATAATCTTTTTTCTAAATATTCTCCTTTTGGGAAAAATGCTTCTATTATAATAATATTTTGCCTGTATATAGCTCAGACCTCTGTACAGAGGCTCAACTATAATTTTTGAAAAATTCACATTATTTTCAGAGTTACAACCCATTGAAATAATTATCAGCGTTTTTTTCTTAAAATTGCTCCCCTCTGTTGCCGTAAAATATGGATAAACCCACTTCTAAGTTATATATTTCAAAAATTCTAGTTGAGCCTCTGGAGAAAGGTCTGAGCTATATACAGGCAAAATATTATTATAATAGAAGCATTTTTCACAAAAGGAGAACATTTTGAAACAAGGTTATTCTAAGTTAATTTTTTGCCGAAATATTGTATTTAAATAATTTTTCTTGTTAAAATGTCCTTAAAACAATTGTTTACATGTATTCTAATCTAAGTGACACTAAATATCATGAAAATTATTTCCATTTACACGCTTTTGCAAAATCACGGTTCCGAATGTAGTCGGATACCTTAATCCAGCAGCAGGCACGCAAGGCACAGAGGCAGCCCAAGCTCAAGAAATCTTTAATTCTGGGAAAACTGTTTATTTGTTACCAATGACCTTGCCAGAGTATCCTCCTATATGACAATCTTTATAGGAACTAAAATGCATTTGTCACATATCTCCCTTTTTGGGGGTAGCAAACGATGTTAGGGTACCTGAGTTCCCTGCGCAAATCGTTCAAATATTTTCTATTAAAAGTCTACATTTTTTCTTCTTTGAACGACTTAGTAGATTTAATTGCTGTATTTATATTATAGTTTATAAATGTCAATTAACAGAATATATATATTATATATATATTTAAAAAAAGGGCAATTCTCACTCATGAGATAAAAAACAATAAACCGAAGAACAATGATACAATGAGAAAAATGGATTTTAACAAAGAAGGAATATATATATATAAAAGAAATGGGCATCTGCGATCTCTCTTGTATAAAAATGAAACCGGTAAATGATGAATCAATGATACAATGATGAAATAATGGATTTTAATCATGATAGTGAAAGTAAATTTTAGAAAAGTGATGAACATGAAATGTTTGAGTCGAAAGGTGGATTTTCAAATGTTACCTAAGTAACTCATCAAAACAGATATGAAGCTACAAGTGTACCACTGCGCCCTATCAAGAAATACATAAGCCAGAAAAAGTTCTACATGCTATTGGTCGATCATCGAAGGACAATAAAACTACAATAACTTGAACGAAGTATGACAGTTTTGCCTACAAATATCATTCCTGTAATGTTAGCTAAAAGTGTCTGTGATTTGTGTCCTTTATTAAAGTTACGCACCTTTGGAACATTTTAGTTCTGCTTGTTTGGATTTTTTCTCACATTATCAATGAAAAATTGGAGTCCTTAAAAGTAGGTACGTATACTTTCTCTTAGTTAAATTGTTCACTAGAATTGCGATTTTTATCGTGTACAATAAAAAAAAGGATTGGGGTGACTCAGTCACCCCCGAACGATCATCAACGCTAGTATCGAGTGCGCGTCTTCTCCCTAGTTAGATTTCTAAGAGAATGACAAAGTCGTTACAATGTTAAATATTTTACGGTATGATACGTACTTGAATTCAGGCAACTAAAAATACCCGTAATATTTATTAAAGTAAGCCCTCTGTATAATAACCATTCTCTTATCGATAAAATGTCATAATATCAAATTATGATTGTAATAAATTTTGATTTCTCTTGAAGTGCCTTTACGAAGATAGAGAGCGGCTCTTCGTTACGGTCGTTACACGTATTAGAGGGTTCTTTTCTGATAGATTTGCTATGGTACATTTAATGTTCAAGAGCGTACGGTCGTTACAGTTCTTATTATAAAGTTGTTCAAAAACTTTTTTTGAGTACATTTGTTTCATAAGAAAATGGGTGAACAATTTCTCACTGAGATTTTAAAATATGTTTTAGTTACTCTATGCTGGTCATCTAATCATACCAGCACTTAAACCTGAAATTCCTATGCTGAGAAATTATTTTTTCTGGGACAAAATTTCTATTTGAGTCGACTAAGACAGGAGAAAACAGTCGGCCACCGATTTGCCAAATTCATCGGGACCGGATATTTTATGCATTAATTCGGGGTTATTCGTAATAACGGGGTCCAAAAAATTACACATTTTTTGATGCATTCCATAATAAGCAACTATACAAAAAATATCCATAGTTTGAAATCACACACTTTTTTTTCAACAGCTAAAAATATTATTAGCAAATTATTATGCGCTAGTTCATTGGACATTTTAAAATACTGACACTGAAAATACTGAAAAAATGTTTGAAAATTTTTTTGATTCCTGATTCGAAAAAGTTATTTCCCGACTTTATATAGAGAAGAAATAACTGAACTCAGTGGCGCAACAGCCCAAGAGAGCCAAGTCCTACTGTACCTATCTCATTTTACATGACCTTAAGCGCTGGGGTGCATATGCAGATGTTTCGGTCAAGTGGTTAGTCTGACGCGAAACCCCCAAAGTTCAATCCCCATGCAAGCATTTATCGACCCACTGAAGGGATAAAAGGCTGAGTCTAGCTTTCCCAGGCCGGGATTTGAACCTCGGATCTGTGGCGTGGAAGCGCAATACACTACCACTCAGCCACTGGGCTTCCAGAGTAGAAAATATTGTGTCATTTACGTTCTACTGCGTGATATATGTTTTCACAGGTTTCAAACAATGCAAGACATTATAAAATTTAACAGTTTTCGTTATCATTTTGTGACGGGCTCACTCGTCTTTTCATTAACATGTCCTTTTGGGTTCTTTGGGGCCAGAATGAATGGCAACTCTTTTCCAACCAAACCAAGAAGTAAAGCGTGAATGAAAGATGCAAATTAGGAAGCTTTTAAACATCAGAAGTTAGAGTAAGCTGTGTGGCAATTTGGAGAATGTTATGATAGTCCGTGATTCAAGTATGAAGAGGTTTTGGAAGGTTAAGTGACAGCCAACAGAAGTTATCCGTGTCAGAGAGCCCTTATGTTAAGGTGCATACCATTGCACGCCAATGAACCGCAACTTCAAATAGGATTAAGTAAAGTGACACTTCATTGGACGAAAAAGGTAGGAGTGACTATTTAAATATTCGGATCTGTGATTGAATTGGAATCG